TCCTTGCTCTCCGTGCGTCGCCGGTCGCTTACGCGCCACTCCCCACTCCTCCTCCCTTCGTCCGGCCACCGCTCCCTTCGAGGCTCTCCACTTGGACGTCTGGGGCCCTGCCCCGACGCAGGGGTCTGGGAGGGAGCGTTACTTTTTGGTGGTCGTCGACGACTTCTTCAGGTACACCACAGTGTTCCCTCTTGCGAAGAAGTCCGAGGTGACTGCTACGCTGATCAGGTGGCTTCTAGCCACTGAGGGCACTCGTGGTCATCGAGTCAGTAGTCTCCACTCCGACCGTGGGGGCGAGTTTCGCTCCGGCATTCTCGGCGGATTCTGCGGCGAACAGGGCATCACACAGTCCTGGACGCTGCCAGAGTCCCCACAGCAGAATGGGGTTGCTGAGCGCCGCATAGGGCTGGTCATGGACATCGCCCGCACGTCCATGATCCATGCCCGTGCGCCCCATTTTCTGTGGCCCCACGCGGTTTGCTACGCCGCACACCAGCTGAACCTCCAGCCGCGAGTCTCGCGGCCCGAGGCTTCACCGACTAGTCTTTGGACTGGTTCCCCTGGTGTTGGGTCGGCCTTTCGAGTCTGGGGCTGCCTTGCGCTTGTTCGCGACACCTCAGCGGACAAGCTCTCGGCACGCGCCGTCCCCTGTGTCTTCCTTGGTTTCCCAGTGGACTCTGCCGACTGGTCCTTTTACCACCCGCCCCTCCACCAGTTCCTAGACTCCCGTGACGTCCGGTTTGACGAGTCTTTGTCCTACTACACCCGGTACCCCCTCCCCCCCTTTTTCTAGCACCCTCTCCTACTCCTGCTCCTGCTCCTCCGGTACCCCCTCCCCCCCCTGGTCCTGCCCCGTCTGGTGTGTCCCACGCTACCCCTCTACCCTCGGTCACGCATCAGGTAGCGTCCCCCTCCCCGCAGTCCTCCTCACAGTCCCCTCAGCAGCCTTCGGCACTTCCGCGACAGGTTCCTGTGGACTTGGTTGGTGTTGGAGCTGGAGGTGCAGCCGCTGGCGGTGCACGGTCTGGGGGTGCTCGTTTGCGGGGTGCTGGAGCTGGAGGGGCTGGTGCAGGTGGCGCTAGCTCTGGGGGTGCTGGAGTTGGTGCTAGCACTGGAGGTGCTAGTTCTGGGGGTGCTGGAGTTGGGGGTCCTGACACTGGAGGTGTTGGTTCTGGGGGTGCTGAGTCTGAGGAGACTGACGCTGGAGACCCTGGTTCTGCAGAGTCCACTCCGCCTCCCCACTGCCACGACACGCGTCTTCAGGCTGCCCGTCGGCGTGAGCATGAGGAGCAGGAGCGGTTGGAGAGGGAGCTGCAGGAGCTGTGGGTGCTGGACCTTCTGGAGCAGCAGCGGCACCAGCAGCACCCGCAGCCGCCGCCGCAGCCGCCTCCGCAGCTTCCTCAGGAGCGGCAGTTGTTCCCACCTGTGAGTGGCCTGCGGGCCCTTGGCCTTTACTCCTCTCCTCCTGTCCGCTCCCAGTCTCCTACTGTGTTTGTTCCTCCGTTGCCTCCTCCTGACGACCGTCCGGCAGTCTGGTCTTCTCCTCCTCCTCAGTCTCCTCCTCCTTCTGTCCGTCGCGACTTGATCACCCGTTGTCCTCCGCGTGCTCGTCACTCGTCCCCTGTTACTGACCTCCACACTGCCCTCCTTTGTTCGTCTCGTCGTCGTTCTCCTTCTCCTGTGTCCGTTCTCCCGTCTCCTCCTCCGTCCTCTCTACCTGCCCTCCCCACTCCTATCTCTTACTACTACCGCGTTGTTCGTCCTGTTGCTGCACGTGTCCTCACCACTCTTGTCACCGACCCTCGTTTCCCTTCGTCGTCTGTCTCGGCTCTCATTGCCGCTGTCGCTGAGTTTGCTGCCGCCAGCCGCCTTGACTACGCCACCCGTGTGGTGCCAGCTCCTCCCTACCGTCCTCTGTTTGTCGGGGGTGGGTTTGCCCTTGGCTGTGACGTCCTAGAGGACAGAGAGTCTGAGCTGGAGAACTGGGCAGCCGCTTCTCCCTCTTTGTGTGCCATGCTGCTCTCCCCTGAGAGAGACCCCGACGCCCTTGACATACCGACTCCTTGCACTTACCGCGAGGCAGTGTCAGGGGCGTGGGCCTCTCAGTGGAAAGCGGCTATGGACTCAGAGTTGGCGTCTTGGAGATCTACAGGCACCTACGTCGACGCAGTTCCCTCTCCCATGGCGAACGTAGTCGATGGCATGTGGCTCTTCAAGGTGAAGCGGCCGCCTGGAGCACCGCCGGTGTTCAAGGCGCGCTACGTGGCTAGGGGTTTCAGTCAGCGTGAGGGAGTTGACTTCTTCCAGACCTTCGCCCCGACCCCGAAGATGACTACTCTTTGGGTGTTACTCCACATAGCAGCGCAGCGAGACTACGAGCTGCACTCCCTCGACTTCTCCGCTGCGTTCCTCCAGGGCCGACTGCACGAGGAGATCTGGCTGCACCGTCCTCCTAGCTTCTCTGACACCTTCCCACCTGGGACCCAATGGAGCCTGAGGCGACCAGTCTACGGTCTCCGCCAGTCGCCCCGTGAGTGGCACGACACTCTTCGCTCCACACTTCGTGACCTTGGGTTCAGCCCGTCCTCCGCCGACCCGTCGATGTTTGTTCGAGCGGGTTCTACTCCTTTCTTTATCCTTGTCTATGTCGACGACTTGGTGTTTGCTACCGCAGACAGGGCAGCACTGGCTCAGGTGAAGTCCGAACTGCAGAAGAGACACAAGTGCACTGACCTGGGTGAGCTGCAGTGCTACCTTGGCTTGCAGATCACCAGGGACAGAGCCGCTCGCACCATCACACTGACGCAGTCACACATGGTGCGGCAGGTCCTTCGGCAGTTCGACTTCCAGTTCTCCACCACACAGCCCACTCCTCTTGCTGTTGACCACCGACTCACTGGCCCCTTTCTTGACGAGCCCTTTGAGCCCAGTGGTCCCTACGCAGAGCTTGTGGGCTGCCTCATGTACCTGATGACTTGTACTCGGCCAGACCTCGCCTTTCCCCTCAGCATCCTCTCTCGCTTTGTTGCGACTGGGAGACACCGTCCTGTCCACTGGACAGCTGCTGTGAGGGTGGCGAAGTACCTGGCGACTACATCAGGCATGGGGCTTGTGCTTGGAGGGACTCAGCCAGTGGTGTTGACTAGTCACTGCGACTCTTCCTACGCTGACGACGTGGAGACTCAGCGCTCGACTCAGGGTTACTGCTTCAGTCTGGGAGCTGGTGCTGTGTCGTGGAGGTCTACACGGTCGTCTTCTGTGGCTACTTCCAGTGCAGAGGCAGAGATCTACGCTGGTGCCATGGCGGCACAGGAGCTTCGCTGGTTGATCTTCTTGCTCGCCGACCTTGGTGAGCGGCCTCGCTCTGCACCGACCTTGTACGCTGACAACAAGGCCATGATCCTCCTGTGTCGAGAGCCTCGACTAGAGAGCAGAGTGAAGCATATTGACGTGAGATACTTCCTCCTGCGAGAGCTGCAGCGACGCGGCCAGGCACGCCTGGACTTTGTGGCCTCAGAGGCCATCACTGCAGACGTCTTCACCAAGGCCTTGGCGCTTGGTGATCACCACAGGTTCTGTGTGCAGTTGGGGCTTGTTGAGGTAGGCCCTCGGTTGTTGTAGTCTTGTTGTTTGCTCTGCTTGTTGTGCTTCCTATTTATATCCTAGTGAACTCTTGAACTGGCCTTGTGGCCGCTTGCTTGCGCTTGGAATTTGTGTGGTGTCCTTGAGATCCACCCTGAGCTCGCCTTGTTTCTTGCTTTGACTGGTCTTGTGACCGTTTGTTCACCTTGCTTGCTTTGATGCCCCTCACTTAGCCTATGGGGGTGTGTCAAATGTAATTCTATGCTTGTAGGCTACAGTGAGTGGCACAATAGGGAGTACAGTTGTTAGGGTTGCATATTTGTATTCTCACACTTTCTAGTTTCGGCCATTCCGTTGCATTCCTATTCTGAGAGAAAGGTACAACTATCAGAAGTATTAGGAACATGCCTCTTTGTACCCTTCTGACACTCGTAGTGTCCATGCATCTTGTAAGAATATGTTGCACTCAGGCCCTCAGATTCACTTTTAGGGACGTTGATGCATCAGGGTCCCTGTGAAAAAAAGCCTGAATTTTCAGGGTTCCTAAAAAAAAAAGCCTGAATTTTCAGGGTTCCGGAAAACAAAAGCCTAAATTTTCAATCACATCATGCAATTGTGCAAGAGAGCAGCCTATACGACATGGTAGTAGAGGGATTCGGACCGGAAACCTTACCAATCGGTATCTACTTCGCTAACCACTAAGACAGTTCATCGAGTCAACGATCAGTATTTTATAAAATAGATTTTATAATGCGGAAATGCTGGTTGACATTGTCTCGGGTGTTTTACGGGAAGGATTCGGAATGTGCATTCAGTGTACACTTCGATAAAAGTCTGAAACATCAGTGTTAGCTATGAAGTAAAGGCTGAAAAAATCAGTGTCACAAAAATCTCAACACTGAAAATTCAGTGTAGGTACACAAAACTAGGCTGAAAATCAGGAATTTCAGGGAAAAATTCATGATATCGTAGGGCCTGGTTGCACTGCAGAAACAAAAGTACATGTTGTGCCTTTGAGATGGATACCGTATCTCCAACAGTAATGGCTGCTCTATTGTTGCATACAACACACAAGATTCAGGCGGTGCTACAGTGTAAAGCATCGACTAGCTGCGCCTCAGCTTGCACCTCTGCTGAGTAGGGGAGTGGAGTAGGCAGAAAGAATTGTGTGAAGAAACATGGGGTGGTGTGAGGTGCAAGGGAACAATGGCAAGGGAATACAAGCAAGTACACATGATGAAAGCATGTATGGGGAGACAGTGATGGGTGCACATGCATGGGAACGAGAGTGCGGAAGTGGGGAGGGCATGAAAATGAAGGGAAGGGTTGAGAAGGGATGGGGAAGGGAAGGGCAGGGCAGGGAGGGAAAGGCAGGGATGGGGAGGGCAGGTGGGAACAGGGCAGAGGGGGGAGGGAATTTAGGGAAGGGGATGGAGGGAAGCAGGGAAGGGGATGGGGGGAAGCAGAGAAGGGGATTGGGGGAAGCAGGTAGAGGGTGTGGGGGGAAGCAGAGAAGGGGGTGGGGGAAGCAGGGCGGAGGGAGGTGGGAAGCAGGGCGGAGGGTGGGGGGAAGCAGGGCGGAGGGAGGGGGGAAGCAGGGCGGAGGGTGGGGGGAAGCAGGGCGGAGGGAGGGGGGAAGCAGGGCGGAGGGAGGGGGGAAGCAGGGCGGAGGGAGGGGGGAAACAGGGCGGAGGGAGGGGGGAAGCAGGTCGGAGGGAGGGGGGAAGCAGGGCGGAGGGTTGGGGGAAGCAGGGCGGAGGGAGGGGGGAAGCAGGTCGGAGGGAGGGGGGAAGCAGGGCGGAGGGTGGGGGGAAGCAGGGCGGAGGGAGGGGGGAAGCAGGGCGGAGGGTGGGGGGAAGCAGGGCGGAGGGAGGGGGGAAGCAGGGCGGAGGGAGGGGGGAAACAGGGCGGAGGGAGGGGGGAAGCAGGCCGGAGGGAGGGGGGAAGCAGGGCGGAGGGAGTGGGGAAGCAGGGCGGAGGGAGGGGGGAAGCAGGGCGGAGGGAGGGGGGAAGCAGGGCGGAGGGAGGGGGGAAGCAGGGCGGAGGGAGGGGGGAAGCAGGGCGGAGGGATGGAGGAAGCAGGGAGGAGGGAGTGGGGAAGCAGGGAGGAGGGAGTGGAGATTGCTGGTGGTGTGTGGGGGGGAAAGGAGGCGGACAAGTGGGGGGAATACTGGTGGTGTGTGGGGGGAAAGGGAGGCGGACAAGTGGGGGGAATGCTGGTGGTGTGTGGGGGGAAAGGGAGGCGGACAAGTGGGGGGAATGCTGGTGGTGTGTGGGGGGAAAGGGAGGCGGACAAGTGGGGGGAATGCTGGTGGTGTGTGGGGGCCTTCGCTACCAACGGGGAGTGGCGACTTGGATAGACATGGGGATAAGGGGAAGTGCGTGTGGATTGGGGAAACAGAGGCGACAACGGGAGGCGAGGGCGTTGAGAAGCAACGCAAGCGACGAGGGAAGAATGAGGGAGATTCGGGTAAGCGTTTCACACGCGGGAAAGAGCGCGAGACGCGGGCAAGCGGTGATGATGCGGGAAAGCACGGGTGACCTCGGGTAAGCGCGGGAAACGCCGGTACGCGCGGGAAACGCGGGTACGCGCGGGAAATGCGGTTAAGCGCGGGTAATTGGGGATGACGCGGGTAAGTGCGGGTGAAGCGGGAAAGCGCGGGTGACGCTGGAGAGCGCGGGAAACGCGGGTAAGCGTGGGAAGCGCGGGTGAGCGTGGGAGACGAGGGCAAGCTCCGTGACGAGGGGAAACGCTTGCGACGAGGGAAACATTGCACGACGAGGGGACGCGCGGGCGACGAGGGCATGCGCGAGTGCAGCAGCGCTCGTAACTTGGGGTTGCGCGAATCGCAAGGGAAGTGCGGACGATGAGGTGATGCACTCGCCACATACTAAGTGTGGGTGTCTAGACGAGGCGAGGATGTGGCCTGAAGGCGGATCGAAGCAAAGAGTTTGTTGGGCGGGCCATGCTATGCTGGCCAATGCATTGCGGGGGTTGTCATAGAGGTAACCAGCAGCCTTTCCCCTCCTGTGGTGCGCTAGAACGGGCGTCCCGTGGCCGGCATGCGAAAATGGTAGGGTAATAGCGCGTTTGGCAAGAAGCGGGTGTTGCTCAGCTATTGGCATGACAGCGGGAGTGACGAGAGCTGGACGGAAAAAAAAACTTCTACCTAGACTAGCTTTTACCGCCCTGCCGCGCGTTTCCTAGTTACGTGCCTACCCTAGTGGATTAGGAGTACTACTTGGTCGTTAAGTTATGTGAGAGGTGACCACGGCAAGCTGGTGGGCGATGTTCGGATCTGTTGTGCGACTGGGCACAGGAACCAATCAGGAATGACCGTCGCAAGACGTTTTCCCTGGGCCGCGAGAGTTCTTTCAAACAGAAGAGGGTAACCCTGTTTTTAGCGACTTCAAGTTTAAGAATCTTGAACTTGAAAAATACCATCCTGTACCTGGGCTTTAATGATAAAATATGTAATCAACAAGGCGTTGAGAAACAAGGTAAAGAGACTAGGGGCACATTCCGCGCTGAACACTTTCTCAAAGAAAGTGTCCCAATCGATTGTGATGCGTATGTACAGCTTATGCTGCCATTTGTCAGAAAACCGGGCCGCACGTGTATGTCGCCGAACGTATTTATCATTGGACGACGTGAAGTGCGGAAGTGTCGCGCACTAATTGCAAGCCAGCGCATCACATTTCCAAAGTCGCACGCGGTGCCAAATGTCCCCACATGCTGCATGTACCTGGACAACATTTGAGAGACACAACAATCCCTATCAACGCGTTCAATGCAGCGTGATTGGTCGACAGAACACACACGGAATTATTGACGCGGCAGACAGTGTGCCCCCATCATAAATTACCAATCAGAATTGTTCACATATAATTGTCGCCCTGGTCGTGCAGGGTCGTGTGAAACAAAGAAAACAGGAATGATTGACTATGGAATGAAAACAGTACAAATAGGAAACCCTAACTGGGTTGTACCCCCTATGGGATACCCCACTACAGCCTACACAATAGTATAAGCTGTATATATGTTCTGACACACCCCCATAGGCAAAGTGGGGGAGAACAAGGGGTCACAAGACCAGTCAAGCAAAGCAAAACAAAGCTCAGGGTGGATCACAAAGTCACCACACAGTCCGAGCACAAGAGCAAGGCCAAAGGCCAATTCACATGCAAGAGTACAGACATATATATAAAGCAAGACAAGCAAGAGCAGGTATATATATGTCACAGTACAAGTAAAGTCAAGAGGAGAGCAAGTGAGGCAAGACAGGCACAAGACCCAGCTGGGTACAAAAGCGCTGATGGTCACAAGGCGCAAGTGCCTTGGTGAACACATCAGCAGTGTTGGCCTCGGAGGCCACGTACGCAAGTCGCAACTGACCACGCTGCTGCAGCTCACGAGCAAGGAAGTAGCGGAGAGCAATGTGCTTCATTCTGTGCTCCAAGCGCTGCTCTCGACACAAGGCCAGCATGGCCTTGTTGTCTACGTACAGCACTGGAGGAGAACGAGGCGGCTCTCCAAGGTCAGTCAGCAGGTAGGTGAGCCAGCGAAGCTCCTGTGCAGCCATGGCCCCGGCGTAGATCTCAGCCTCACAACTGGAGCCGAGAACCGAAGACGAGCGAGTAGACCGCCACGAGACAGAGCCGGAACCAAGGCTGAAGGTGTAACCCTGTGACGACCGCTGCGTAGCCTGGTCGTCAGCCCAAGAAGCGTCCGCGTGGCCTGTAAGGACCACTGGACTCCGCCCTCCAAGCACTAGCCCCATGCCCGACGTACTGCACAGGTAGCGCAATACCCTCTTCGCTGCAGCCATGTGCTCTGGTCTGTGTCTCCCAGGGGCAACATAGCGTGCAAGAATGCTCAGAGGGTATGCAAGGTCAGGTCGTGTGCAGGTCATCAGGTACATGAGGCAGCCAACAAGCTCTGCATACGGACCACTCGACTCTACGGACTCATCCGAAGGCAGAGCTGAGAGTGAGTGGCGAGTAGGCAGAGGAGTGGCCTGAGGCGAGGAGTACGTGAAGCCGAAGCGCTGAAGGACCTGCTGCACCATGTGTGACTGAGTCAAGGTAATGGTGCGGCGTGCTCTGTCCCGAGTGATCTGCAAGCCAAGGTAGCTGCGCAGTTCACCCAGGTCTGTGCACGTGTGTCTCTTCAGCAGCTCGGACTTCACGTAGGCGAGTCCAGCAGTGTCCGCTGTGGCAAAGACCAAGTCGTCGACGTACACGAGGATGTAGAACGGCGGCAGGGAAGTGTCGGTGCGAAGAAACAGCGACGGGTCAGCAGTAGAAGGAGCAAACCCAAGAGCCGCAAGCGTAGTCCTCAGTGTGTCGTGCCACTCACGCGGTGCCTGGCGGAGACCGTAGACTGGCCGTCGGAGGCTCCACTGGGTGCCAGGAGGGAAAGTCCCAGTGAAGCCAGGTGGACGGCGAAGCCAGATCTCCTCGTGCAGGCTACCCTGCAAGAACGCAGTGCTGAAGTCGAGAGAGTGAAGCTCGTAGTCGCGCTGAGCGGCTATGTGCAGCAGCACCCGAAGAGTAGTCATCTTCGGGGTGGGAGAGAAGGTCTGAAAGTAGTCAACTCCCTGCCGCTGACTGAAGCCACGAGCAACGTACCGTGCCTTGAAGACAGGTGGAGAGCCCGGCGGCCGCTTCACCCTGAAGATCCACATGCCACTGACGATGTTCGCCCCAGGAGGGGGAACCGCGTCAACGTAGGTGCCTGTGGACTTCCAGGAAGCCATCTCTGCATCCATAGCTGCCTGCCACTGAGAGGAGTAGGGACCCTCTACGGCCTCCGCGTAAGAGCGCGGAGTCGGGATGTCTAGTGCATCCGGGTCTCCCTCAGGGGCAAGCAGTACAGACGCGAGATGAGGTGAAGCAGCCGCTAGACACTGTAACTCCTCCTGCCTGTCCTCTAGGACGTCCGTGCCAAGAGCACACTCACCCCTGACGGACGGAGGACAGACAGACGCAGACTCAGCAACAAGACTAGCAGCGTAGTCGAGACGACAGCGAGCAGCAAAGTCGACGAGCTCAGCGACTAGAGCAGACGCAGCAGTGGACTCAAAAGAGGGGTCAGTGACGACAGTAGCAAGCAGACGCGTGACAGTAGGACTGGCAGCACGAAGAGAGTCCGACTCAGGGTCGGCAAGCGCAGGAAGAGAGGACTCAAGAGGAGAAGGCAAAGGGGCACGCAGAGGAGCAGTGGACGGACGCAAAGACATCCGGTGCGTGCCAGGGACAGGAGGAGGACGCTGACGCGAACTGCGACCACTAGCGCGAGCAGCACGAACAGGCGACGCGGGACGAGACGCAGGCTCACGACGCTCAGCAAGACCTCCAGTAGGACCAGTGTAAGGAGAGGGAGCAGGCAGTGGAGAGGAAGGCTCCAGCAAGGACTGCGACTGGACAGGCGGTGGACCCTCTACTGGAGGAGAAAGACCAAGAACCTGCTGCAGGAGCGGAACGAAGTACGGCCGAGGCCGCGCGGCAGCTCCAGACGCAGCAGGGACAGCACCAGCACCCTCAGCGACAGCACCAGCGCCACCCACACCTCCAGCGGCAGGACCAACAGCAGTAGACTCAGCACCAACGCCCTCAGCAGCTCCAGCTCCAGGAGGACCCGCAGGTCCAGCAGCTCCGGGACCGGCAGCACCCGCTCCCTCGACCGTCGAAGAAGCTCCAGCTCCAGCTCCAGCAGCACCTCCAGACTCAGCAGCACGCCTCCAGTGGCGAGCGAACCACTCGCGCAGCTCCTGTGGAGAGAGGGGCTCCCGGCGAGACGCAGCAGCAGGAGAAACCCCAGGCTCAGCAGCTCCAGCCGCAGCACCCCCAGGCTCAGCAGCTCCCAGCTCAGCACCCCCAGGCTCAGCAGCTCCCGACCCAGCACCCCCAGACCCAGCACCTCCAGGCACAGCACCCCCCGGCTCAGCACCCCCAGGCTCCGCACCCTCCGCAGTAGCACCCTCAGGCCCAGCACCCCCAGCAGTAGCACCCCCAGGCTCAGCACCCCCGCGCACAGCACCCCCAGAGTCAGCACCCCCAGGCTCAGCACCCGCAGCAGCACCAGAGTCACTAGTAACCTCGACCGGGTCAACGGCATCTACCTGGGACACACCTGAGGGGGCAGGAACCTGAGGGGGGAGGGGGTCTACCGGGGGGGGAACCGGCACAAGGAAGTCCGGGGGAGGGGGGAGGGAAGGAGTGCGGTAGGGGAAGAGACGGTAGAAGGGGACTGACTCGTCGAACGTGACGTCCTGGGAGGACAGAACACGACGAGAGGAGGGGTGGTAAAACTGCCACCCTGGGGCGTCAGTGGGGAAGCCAAGGAAGACACAGGGAGCAGCACGAGGGGACAGCTTGTCCGCAGACAAGTCGCGGACAAACGCCCGAGATCCCCAGACACGGAACACAGATGCATCGCCAACCTTCCCCGTCCACAGCAAGGCTGGGGACATCGCAGGCCGAGAGACCCGGGGGTGAAGGTTGAGCTGATGCGCCGCGTACCTCACCGCAAACGGCCACAGAAAATGGGGGGCAGCCGCATGCATCATGGACGTACGAGCGACATCCATGACCATGCCAATGCGGCGCTCAGCAATCCCATTTTGCTGTGGTGAGTCCGGAAGCGTGAAGGTCTGGCGGATCCCCCGTGCACGACAGTAGTCCCGCAGAAGGCGAGAAGAGAACTCTCCGCCTCTGTCCGAGTGCAGACGCAGAACAGGAAAGTCTGAGCCGAAGCTCTTCCTGAGCTGGAGACGAGCCTCGCGGATCCAGTCGATCAGCACCTCAGTGACCGCACCCTTGCTGCGCAAGGGGAGGACTGTGGTGTAACGCGAGTAGTCGTCAACCACCAACAGGAAGTAGCGCTCGTAACCCTGCCCACGGACGGGGGCTGGGCCCCACACATCCATGTGAAGCGTCTGCAGGGGAGCCTCTGTCGGGGGGAAGTGGGAGGAGTGAGGAGTAGCCCGGAGGCGACCCTCGACACAGGGGACACAGGAAGGTCCTGGCCCGGAGGGGAGAGGAGGGAGAGACTGGGGAAGACCAGAGACAAGGACACGGGAAGCCATGCTCCGAAGACGGGGCAAGGAGGGGTGGCCAAGACG